TATTACAAGCAAATTTACAGATTTTGCTAATAAGATAATCATTTTCATGCAAAATGTTTAGTACATTGTTATCGGTTGAACGATCGTACATTTGCAAAAGAGAATACTGTAAATAGTCATGTCATTGTGCATGTAAACTATTAGCATATTTACTGCAATTATGGCGCCGCTCTTCCATTCTAGCGCAGAAAAATCATAGAACTCTTCGTTTCCTGATGCTGAAAAGACACCAAAAAATGTTAGCTCTTTTTGATTTTCTTTTCTTATTTACTATTTATAACACTGAACAGGAATGAAACATACGTAGTCAGTAGATTATTACGAACTGCTGCATCGGCTACTCAAAAATAGAAATGAATCACCTATGCATACATCCCGAAAGAGATACCATCTTGGTACACTTTTGTTTTAAAAGATTATAAATGATAGAACAGCACGGCTATGTATAAACAGAGATACTTTTTTAATTAGGTATCTCACGAGGGAATCTTTCGAGGTGATTAAACGCTTTTAGTTCAGAATGTGCTGGGCTATAGGTTATCGACCATGCTGATTACGAATATGACCATGAGGATTGCCCTTAGCCCTTCAAAGTCCTGGTTTTCTGCAAAACCAGATCTTTGAAGGGCTAAGGCCAACCCCCATGGTCATATTCGTAATCAACGTGGTTGATAACGTGCAACCCACCAGATTCCGCGCAAAAAGCGTTTAATCACCTCCCAAGGTTCTCTCGTCAGTTGAGGAAAAGAAAACTATAAGCAAAACCACGTGTCCCAACTGATATACATTTAATAAACTATGAACTAATAAAGCATGGTTCATTTCCCAATTGTTAGTAGTATTTTAGGTGACAGTGGTAAAACAGATTGTCTTTCCTTGTACGTTGATGATTTAATTGTATCAAGCTCAGGTCTAAGCGAGACAACTTTATGTTGTCTTCTCTGAAAAATCGATTAAACATTTGGATAAGGAGTGATAAACGACCTTTGACTTACAAAACTTATAACTTTATTATTATATAAATGTCCAATGGGTGTTTTAGGCTCTTCAACCACTTTACCTTTAAGCCTGCCAATCACTTGATCTACATGCGCTGGGTATTATGTATTCTCATGCCCATGTATGCCATTTACAGATGTGATTTATCATTTTGTAGAATAATAGAACATCCATAATTATTCACTGTACACATCCAACGCTCCCTACCATTATGATTGTGACGCTAACAACAATATAAATTCCCTTTATATAATATTGCTGGTGAACCTCTTTGGGTTTTTTTATGAATAAAATCCATAAGAATATTTCAACAAATTTTGATGCAATAGTGTTTGTGTAGAGTATGATGTACAAAACGATTTTCAATTTAAGCGAACAATACATGCGCATACTACCCTTACAGAAATTATATCTCAGTTGGAAAATGAATCAGGGTGTATTAGTTCATATTTTATTAAATGTATCTCAGTTGAGAAACGTGATTTGCTTATATTTTTCTTTTCCTCAACTGAGATACCTAATTAAAAAATTATCTCAGTTGGGATGATCATCTTCGTAAAAACAAAAAAAAACAAAAAAAATTTTTAGATCTACCATTGTAAAAGAGAAAAGAAGTAAGCTTTCTTGTGATACGTACAACATATATGCTCATTTTCTCAAATGAGTTGTTATTTTTTGAGTAAGCGTACGACCAGTTTGACTTAATGGAATTATTTGATTTCTTCTTCGATCGAATGTCAATTGTTTGAGTACATGTAAAACTTGTTGTCGAAATCGTTTCGAAGTTGCACAATAACAATAGAAAGAACTCTAAAAATAGAAATAGTGAAATATTAACATGTGAATGAAGATTGAAAAATTACCGCATTTGTATTATAAGCATAAATAAAGAAAAAAACATTTGCTAATTGTTCTTGTGTTTGACGATAAACATCTTTGGTAAGATTTGCTGTAGCAGTGAAATACACTTGTGCAATAGCATATGGAGCTTGAAATACTAAGACAACAATAATTGCGGATAAACCCATTTTTATGAATTGTCTGTTGAAAGTAGAATGTGTGTGTCGTTCATCCATATTCATTCTGTGCATATTTCGATAAGAAAGATATCCAAATAAACTGATTATTACAATAGGAATAGTAATAGATAATCCTAGAATAGTAAAATAACTTCGATATTGAGCATAGATTGTATTTGTCGTTTGACATCTCCAATTGGGCATAATACTAAGTTGTTGCATGAAATAATATGGTGATTCATTACAAATCCAAATAAATAAAAATCCAATAACTACAACCGTTGACAGTCATAGATAAGACTGGTAGTGAACCTAAACTGGATGAATGCAATCAGTTTAAGTATCAATAACAACCGACAAAGAAGTTGAAGACGTACTATTACATCTCTAAACTTTGAACTTACGATATTTGAACCTAATGTAACGTTCAATAACACAATTTGATTGATACGAAAATAAATCGACAGCATGAACTAGAAATGAGATAGTTTCTGACTTCTGGAATTTACGAAATGTGAAATCATTAAGAGCTTTTCTATACTTATGACCAAGAATTAATTAATTTAATTTTCATCTGAAGAATAAACAAGCATAAATACTGATCACACTGGACAATTTGTTCGATAAAAAGAAAAGACAAGAAAAAAGGTTAAAATACTAAAATATTTACGCTATATGTAGTGCAGTACTGTTTTATTTTTCTTTTTGAAATCGAATGAAGTGTAGACGCAGTGTTTTTACCATCAATCCCAGCCATCAAATTATTCACATTCAGTAACAAAATCTTTTCGCTATGCGACTGATCTCGAGTATGGAAATTTTTATTGTTAACCGTAATCACTTTGTGGCTCATGTACTGCAGTTTTCAAACACAATTCCCTACCCTAGAGGACGTACTTGTGTCCAAGTACTTGGGATAAGTACTTCGCCTGCGTAGTGAAGCCGGTACTTGGCTTTTTTCCAGAAGTAAATTTACTTGTAAGTACTTGTCCAGCGAGCAAGTACTTGATTTTTCACTTGACTAGCACTAGTTCAAGCGTTTGTCAAGTAAAGTTGAAAGTACTTGGATTGCTTTCAAGGTAATATTATTCGAGCTTTCCTCTATTGTCCCTTAATATTCACTTCGTGGACTTATATTATTCTATGTTTGAAGTCCAGAAAGAAAAACCGTTTTCCTAAGCGTGGGTACAGTACTCATGTAAATAGATAGTGACGAGCGATCCTAACTTGTCTTATCCAAGCAACCGCTGATTTTAACCTATTTCTAGTTTATATCTACGTGTTAACTTTTCTAACGCAAGATTAAAGCATTATGGTCCCGAAGAGAAAACCGGGTAAAGCATGGTGAAATCAGTATGTCATTACCTTAAGCAACACTTTATTTTGAGAGATCTCGTATGAAAAGTTTTTATTTTTCACTCTTTCTTTATATAGATTCCTACATAAGAGTTCACTGACGTTAAAATCAGTTGTTTGTTGGATTTCGAAATATAAAGTGTTCAATTAACTCTTTTTAAAAAACCTTTTCGATTTTTTGCTCAAAATTAAAGTCGCTATTTGAAAACCAGAAACGAAGTTTCTCTAAAACAAATGCGTTTAGAACAAAAACTCTTCTGCTTTTTATCAAAGCTAGAAAATCCAGCGACTCTTTCTAAAAAATCCTTTTGGTTTTTAAATACATTTTTTTGGTTTAGGATGATAAAAAAGCCCTTACTTGGCAAGGACTTTCATAAAGTACTTCTTAGCAATAAAAGCAAGTATTTTTACCTTTGAGAAGTACTTGTGCAAGTAAATGGCACAACACAAAACACTTGCTAATTTTTCCAAGTACTTTCCAAGTATCTAGCAAGTAATCAAGTACTTGCATCAAGGACGTTCTCTAGGGAATATATATGGAAGAAAGAACAAAAGACAGAATCAATTTGAAATCATATGATCACTGATTCTTACCATGTTTCTACGTAGAGTCTATGAACAGTAGAACAGAGCTAGCAAATATATACACTAATTTCAACAACACAGAAGAGAAGACAAAGGTGAGTGTGACCCAGACAAACAGAAGGATCAAAAGAATCCACAGTGAATTCCTTAACCAATTTTAACACTACAACCTTGATTAGCCATACAGATATGTTTCAATATCTCCAAATCAATTAATAAACACAACACCTTGGCTTTCTGTTTTGTAACAGGCTCTTCCATCCCGAGCGAATGCATACTTTTTGTCCTCCTCCAGATCGTCACGAATTTGATCAACCAACCACTTATCAGATTTGATTAGGTCCTCAAAGAGCGTGATGCCAATTGTCTCCTTAAATCGTTTTCTTTTTAACGTAGTGAGTTTCCTATTCATAGAAGAAAACTATATATATAGGAAGATGCTATCAGGTCCTGGCTACAAGATACTGGAAACCGCAGGACTTCATCTTGTTCCATTAAAATTTATTAAAAAAATGACCATAGCCACTGCGCAATTGGACAGATAATATATATATATATATATATATATAATTAGCTGGAGTACCCGGCGTAGCCCGGGAAAATTCAATTTTGCATACTTAACATATTGAAAAACGACGGTCTTATGGTTGTCCTTTGACTTACAAAACTTATAACTTTATTATTATATAAATGTCCAATGGGTGTTTTGGGATCTTCAACAACTTTACGTTTAAGCCTGCCAATCACTTGATCTACATGCGCTTGATATTATGTATTCTCATGCCCATGTATGCCATTTACAGATGTGATTTATCATTTTGTAGAATAATAGAACATCCATAATTATTCACTGTACACATCCAACGCTCCCTACCATTATGATTGTGACGCTAACAACAATATAAATTCCCTTTATATAATATTGCTGGTGAACCTCTTTGGGTTTTTTTATGAATAAAATCCATAAGAATATTTCAACAAATTTTGATGCAATAGTGTTTGTGTAGAGTATGATGTACAAAACGATTTTCAATTTAAGCGAACAATACATGCGCATACTACCCTTACAGAAATTATATCTCAGTTGGAAAATGAATCAGGGTGTATTAGTTCATATTTTATTAAATGTATCTCAGTTGAGAAACGTGATTTGCTTATATTTTTCTTTTCCTCAACTGAGATACCTAATTAAAAAATTATCTCAGTTGGGATGATCATCTTCGTAAAAACAAAAAAAAACAAAAAAAATTTTTAGATCTACCATTGTAAAAGAGAAAAGAAGTAAGCTTTCTTGTGATACGTACAACATATATGCTCATTTTCTCAAATGAGTTGTTATTTTTTGAGTAAGCGTACGACCAGTTTGACTTAATGGAATTATTTGATTTCTTCTTCGATCGAATGTCAATTGTTTGAGTACATGTAAAACTTGTTGTCGAAATCGTTTCGAAGTTGCACAATAACAATAGAAAGAACTCTAAAAATAGAAATAGTGAAATATTAACATGTGAATGAAGATTGAAAAATTACCGCATTTGTATTATAAGCATAAATAAAGAAAAAAACATTTGCTAATTGTTCTTGTGTTTGACGATAAACATCTTTGGTAAGATTTGCTGTAGCAGTGAAATACACTTGTGCAATAGCATATGGAGCTTGAAATACTAAGACAACAATAATTGCGGATAAACCCATTTTTATGAATTGTCTGTTGAAAGTAGAATGTGTGTGTCGTTCATCCATATTCATTCTGTGCATATTTCGATAAGAAAGATATCCAAATAAACTGATTATTACAATAGGAATAGTAATAGATAATCCTAGAATAGTAAAATAACTTCGATATTGAGCATAGATTGTATTTGTCGTTTGACATCTCCAATTGGGCATAATACTAAGTTGTTGCATGAAATAATATGGTGATTCATTACAAATCCAAATAAATAAAAATCCAATAACTAAATAATGAGCTCTTCGAACAGTACTCTGTTGACGTAAAATGGCACTTCGTGAAGTACATAAAAACAAATCGATAGATTGGAAACAAAGACAAGTGTAAGAGCAAAGAGAACTTATATATAATAATGGAATACGTAATCTACACCAAGTTCCACTTGTCAAAGCATATGAACGAAAACCTTGAATTATAATATGACCAATGAGACCAACAAGAAGCGTATTCAAATCAAAAAATGATTTAGCAAGCATGTAAAATGAACAAGCATTGTGTCTATAATTACCCAAAGTAAGAAAAACAATAATATTTAGAAGATTACCCACAATACCGATGATAAGTACAGGAAAACCAACTGCAAAAGCTAAATATTGCGTAGCTAATTGAAGTTGACGAATGTCATTCGAAGACATTTTCTATTTCGTAAGAAATTTTTCTTTCTTAATGAAAAAACAAAGTAAATTAATTAGAGAATGTAGGTTTTAAGTTTTTTCGTGCCTGAAATTAAGACAGCTTTGTGCCCGTTTATGTCGTTTTGTGCCCGGTCCGAGTACAAAAAAAACTTTTTACACTTTTGTGCCTGGAGATAGATATGTGCCCAAATCTGATTGATTTGTGCCCGATTTTAATTAGATTAGGAATAATAATAAGAAAGATCTCAACTTATTATTACCATTTATTTACTGAGATGGTGGCAGAAATAGAAAGACAGAGAAAATATGCAAGTAGAACAACTAAACACCAGACAACGCATTTTCTACTTTCCTTGGTCTTCCACATCGTTTCTGAAAATTTTGTGATTTTGCTGGGTCTTTTACAAGATAATAACCAAAATGCATCATTAAACCAATAGTATCATCAGGCACAAATCAGTCAAATCCAGGCACAAAAGTGTAAAAAGATTATTTTGTACCCGGACCTGGCATAAAAAATCTTAAACGGGCACAAGTCTATCTTAATTCTGTGCACAAAAAAAACATCTTTGTCCGAGAATGTAGAAGGTCAGAAAAGATATTTATTTATCTCTTGATTCAAATAAAAAGATTTAGTTGTCAATGTATGATACTAACACGAAGAAAATAATTTCTGTCTTTTCTTCTTTTTTTCTTATTATGCGCTTTTATTGCGGAATTCTTTCTGTTCCCTTACGGAATTGACGAAACGGTTCAAGTTGCTTGAAGATAGTCAAAATGATGTCAAACGACTAATATGTTTTTGTTCCACTAGAAATTAGAAAAATAACCCTTAGAAAATAGAAGATGATTTTCTAGAATAGTCTATATGAATTATCTGACGAATTTCTATTTTCTCAAAAAATACTATTATGAAGAATATAGAATTTCGAATTTTCATTTTCTAACTGAAAAATCATGGAGAAATTCTTCTAAACTTTTCTNCCCGAGGGTCCGCCTTTCTACATTTTTAAATTAAGGTCTTTTCTTATCTATAACTACTATCCCTTTCAAAATAGAAGACAGGCGGTTGCTTTTTGAGTAGCTTTTGGTAGAAGATAGACAGAGACCTGTGGTTTCTACTATTCGATGGCCAAGACCTGTACGCATCTTTCCATAAGCAAAAAGACTTTTTGAAAAAGATTCAAAGACCGGATTTTGAGCAGATCTTTTTTTTGCAGATCATTTTTGCCTAAATTTGAGTAAAATTCAAAAATTCATAACCCAGTCAAGATTCATCCAAATTACTTCAGAATATCAAGATGTACTCTATGAGCAGGGATGCCAACTAAAAAAGAAATAAAGGGGGGACAAGATAAAACGCTGAGATAAAGCTGTTTATTTACATTTTCTGAACATTTATTTTTAAAATCAAACATTATTTATCTGAAAGTAATTAGATAAGCAGAAAAACAAGATATTTCGCTCGAGAAAGATAATGAGAATTTGAACTTAAAAACTTTGTACAAAGATGAAAATGTTGTTGTATTCGAGTTTTGTCTCATTTCTTACAGTATAGTAAAACTGCGTACAGCGTTATTTTCACTTTTATTTGGAACGTGCACCTTGAAAGGCATGTACAAAAAAAGACAGAAAAAAATTACCCTTTTCCTGTTATCGCATAGGTCTATAGGCAGATATATCTCTCATACAGACTGTATTTCACATAAGAAAAGGTATTAAATGCTAAAGATCTGCTGAAATAAAAGTGTAATACAAAAGCGAAAAGTGCATTGAAAACAACCGGAAGAAAATCCTTGAAAAGGCGGACCCTCGGGGGACAAATCTTTATATGTGGGATTATCCCCCTTATAGGGGACATCTGGCAACCCTGTCTATGAGGCAGTGCACGACAGAAACGTACTTTTCAGCAAAGCGTGCTCAATGAACTTTTACAAATTTTTCTCACATTTATAGAGCAGATAGAAAAATGTGTTCTGAACATTCTTGTCTCTTGACATGTTTGATGCTAGAACGCTTGCAAAAGCGGTCGTAAAATACGGAAAAAAAGCGAATTTTCCGTCAAAACTTTTGCGGGACAAAACTTTTTATAGCAGTTCAAATTAATTTAAATACTATTGAGTATAAAATTGCTACGTACATCAGAAGAAATTAGAGAAATTAAAGCATGGATCAGTCAGTCAGGATTATGAATTACTCCGATCAAAACTTGTTCATAATATTTCCTTATATAATGTTTCTCCAGCAGACGCAGAGGTGCAACCGGTACCGGCATGACTTATAACGCCGACCGGTATACCAGTATTAGTATGAAGTATACTCAGTTGGTTGATATTGCTGGTATTTTGCGGTATGATGCGATTTTTTCAAAAACATCGTGTAAATTCAGCTCATCTGCGACATATTTCTTCCACTGGAACTTCATTCCAATTATGTAAACTTAGTTCGGTTATATAAGCTTCTTAATTTAAAAAATTGAATTGGATTGCTGTTTTTGTTAAAAAAGAAGGAAAATCAGCTATACATCATCAAAGTGAAGAGATTAATCTATCTCTTTGATAACATAAGTAATTGATCAAACGAAGAGTAATAGGTTTTTATCGGTGAGTGTTAACAGACTTCGTCACATATGTGACAATGAAAAAGTATTTGTATTTAGTACCCAAAAATCTACCAATGATCAGATTTCTTACGATTTTCGCCATTTTTTCCTTTATAAGCGGACAAGTTTAAGTAATTCAGGTACTTTACTTTATACTGACCTGAGTTAGATAGAAACGGGTCAACCATACCCGATCCGAAACCGACCCCATCGGACTCAACCCGACTCGACCCGTTTTGGCCTCTGATATATATCCAAATGACAACAAAAAATTTTTGCGACAAAGATTCGATTGTATTTATACCCAAAAATCTACCATGATCTTTGTAGCACTTTTATACTCAATAATATTTAAATAAATTGATGTGTCTATAGAATGAAGTTCATGAAAAGAATGGTTAAAAAGGCGTTTCTAATCGTTCTTTTTTCTAAACGTTTTTTTATGGATGAAGATAGATTGTGAGTAAAATGAACAGATTACAAAATATTCTGTTAAAAAATTTTCTTAAGAATCTAACTAAAGAAATAAAAACTAGAATTAAACTTATGCGTCTAACTAAATAAAACAAATAGTTGGAGTGAATTGGGACATTTTCACAAAATGCCCAATTCTATTTTCAATAAGAGAAAGATATGTAAATAATAAAGTTTAATTTTCAACAATAAACGGAGTAGCCTAAGCATCAGGTTCGTCGTAAGAATAAGTCAGCTATATACAGAGTTGTCCAGACCAGAGAAGAGATGGGAAAACATTATTTTTCTCCAGAGGAGTCGAGAATGATTCCGATACCATTTCAAAAATTTCGATGCATATACAGCGGACACAGATGAATCTCTGATTTTGACTTTCTCAGGATACTCCTTAGTGCATATATCAGAGACCGAAACGGGTCAACCAAATGTGACCCGAAATGGTTTTCCTTGGAAAACCTGGCTTTGGAAAGTCGGAAAATCACTGGTTTTCTGGAAAAGCTCGATTTTTTCTTCTTTCCTACTAGACTAGTGCTATCAGATGCGCTGATACCGAATCTTAAAGAATTGTTTGTCTGTCACCTTTCGTTTCGTAGATTCAGGCGTTTTCCGAGGACAAATCTTCTCATTCACGCTAAAGCAATAAACAGAATATGGAATGTAGGGTAATTTTACATACTGATCACCGTGGCAATGTTTATTTTGCTTCAAAGAATCGTCTTTGAGAAATTTTGTCGAATGTCTTGGCTTTTTGGATCAAGCGCATTTCTCCTTCTTTTTCCTTAGCGTAAAAGTGAGTGAAAATATGGAATTGCGTACAGCTGATGAACGATGTCTTCTTTTGTCTGTTTTTGTCTGCCACTAATCAGCTTCTTAGCTATTGCCGAATGTCAATGCCTAGTTTTCTGTACATTCTTTTTCGCGCTGTTGTGTTACTATTTATCTTTTTGCCATATAGTCTGTTTCTATTTCTTTTTCTTACTCTTTTTAAAAAGAAGGAGAAATGCGCTTGATCCAAAAGCCAAAACATTCGACAAAATTTCTCAAAGATGATTCTTTGAAGGAAAATAGAATCGATACGTGATAGCGTATCGATTCGGTGATCCAAAAATTGATACCCAAAGATAAAGATACGCTAAAAGAGAAAACTCTATTTAGTGACTAATAGTCGATACTTTTATATTTAAATTAATATATCCAGTATATATCCAAGTCATGAATTTATGACTGAGTTTCAACACATCAACTAGCTTTTAAGTGAAATTCAAGAATTCAGAATCAGACCCGATGGACTTTCAAGAAAGTCGACTAGTGTATGCTAGAGATGTGCAGGGTAACTGTTTAAGGGGTGCTGACCCTACCCTACCCTTTGAAAATTTGAGAATTTTTCATTTACAATTATTTCTTTAGTTTTTTAAGTAAATGAATCATATTGATAAAAATTCTTTTTTAAAATTTCGTAGCAACACAATGTCATCGACCGTTTCTTCATCCAGCCTTTGTTGCTTTTTTATATTGCCAATTGCACCAAAAATGGGTGTCTTGCATCCGATAAAATAAAGATTTTAAAATAACTGTGGATAGCGGCCGACCTCAATGGTGTACCGACGATATATCTATTTTAGATGAAGTGCTGACCCTGCCCTATCCTGTAACTTCGAAGGCCTGGCCCTACCTTGTGACCATACCGTGAAGGATAGGGTAAGGGCTTCTTGCATATCTCTGGTGTATGCACGATCTTATGTACAATAACGGGCTGAACAAAAGTAAAACAGTGAAAGTTTTTCTGATTTCTATAGCCTTCTACAATAAATATTCTATCGCTTTTATTATACATACCTGCTCAATTAACCACGATGTTTCTAATATCCACTTCTATTACTACCATGAATAAAATGTATTTATTATGCAGGATTAAAGAAACTTT